AAAAATTGGGGGGGAAAAAATCAAGACCTAGGAAGAAATTGCTTCAAATGTTAGCTACGTCCATATCCCCCCCCTCCCAATGCCCCATAGAAGGCTTTTTTGGCTGTCCGTACTTTTCTTTGCCTGCCCGGGCTTGCGTCTAACCCAACGTCTAATCAGCCCTAGACGCGCGTCTAGTGTCTTAGACGCTGCGTCTAGACGCAGCGTCTAAGACGCTAGACGCGTCTTCCGCAACGTAGGTATTGCGTACATGCACTTTCGTATCAAACACGCAACGGGTTTCACATGAAGATGAGAAAAGCTCCCCTGAGACAAGACTAGAGTGTCACTAACAGGTAAGTAACTTGGGTGAGTGTGCTGATGGTAGCAGGAATGCTGCCAGTCAGCTGGTTGCTTGAAACGTCTCTGAGTAAAACAAAAATATATTTATATATAATATCGCTGGGTTTAATGTGAGGTGGGAGGATACAAGACAAGAATGGACGGACAGAAGAGAGGCGGGACGGCGATGAGGTTCGGGGAGACCAGAAGGGTGAATAGCAAAAGAAGATGGTCGTCTCTTGGATACGGAAGAAGAGGCACGACGCTAGGCATCCATTTGGGTGAAACATCAAGAGTCACACAGATATGATTTTACGGCATTAATCTGCTGAAAAGAGACTGTGAGAAAATAATTACAAGCAAGAGGCACCTAAGTGGAGATAGACTGGTGAAGAAAATCCTTCAATAGAGAAATGAAGGGAAACAGGAAGGAGTCGAGGGAGACCAAAGAAGGTGAGGTAAACTGAACAGCGCGGGGAAAGAATCTTGGGAGAGCACAGGAGATGTGAGAAGAACAACAAAAGCGTATCTTCTTACACAATTGTCAACTTGGTGAGGACGCCAATGTCTGCCGGGATGGAGCCGTTGAGCTTGTTGGAGGCAAGCGACCTGTCCCACTCAGGGTGTTCAAACAGTGGGGCCAGTGCCATGAGGACGAGTGGTTGAAGATGCGGTTGCATGAAATTGTATAATTCTGAGCAAGTAGCGAGTTAAGTGATGCTCGCCTTGTTTGGAGGTGCAACAATGCGAGGCTAGTAGTACTACTCGGATGGGGAGCTTCTCGACTCTCGCCGCCTCGTCACTTTTGGCAATCATTTTTTTTTCCTTAGCAATTTTTTACTCGTCGCTGAGGCGAGTAGTAGTACTCGCCTACGTCCTTCCGTGGCTAGGTAGGTTACGATGACAATGACGATGATCCGTGCGTAGCAAGTAATACTCGCCTGGCCCAAGGTGTGCTGCATTTGCACCACTAAACATAAAAGTGAAGCAGTTGGCTATACGACAGACGGACGTGCCAATTCCTTTGTCAAGAGCACACAAGGATGTGGTGAACACGATATCTGCAGGAGAATGCAGAAGCATGTGTGGGACTTGGCTCATAAAAACTACACCTCGCCAATACAACAATAGCTCATTCACAAAGGAAGAGCACAAGGCAGAAGCACATGAGGCAGGCAGAAGCACATGAGGCAGGCAGAAGCACATGAGGCAGGCAGAAGCACATGAGGCAGGCAGAAGCACATGAGGCAGGCAGAAGCACATGAGGCAGGCAGAAGCACATGAGGCAGGCAGAAGCACATGAGGCAGGCAGAAGCACATGAGGCAGGCAGAAGCACATGAGGCAGGCAGAAGCACATGAGGCAGGCAGAAGCACATGAGGCAGGCAGAAGCACATGAGGCAGGCAGAAGCACATGAGGCAGGCAGAAGCACATGAGGCAGGCAGAAGCACATGAGGCAGGCAGAAGCACATGAGGCAGGCAGAAGCACATGAGGCAGGCAGAAGCACATGAGGCAGGCAGAAGCACATGAGGCAGGCAGAAGCACATGAGGCAGGCAGAAGCACATGAGGCAGGCAGAAGCACATGAGGCAGGCAGAAGCACATGAGGCAGGCAGAAGCACATGAGGCAGGCAGAAGCACATGAGGCAGGCAGAAGCACATGAGGCAGGCAGAAGCACATGAGGCAGGCAGAAGCACATGAGGCAGGCAGAAGCACATGAGACAGAAGGGCACGCTTGGAAAATAGGAAAATTGCTTCTTAGTTGGCGCCTGTATCCCTTAGGCGAGCCATAAGCAAGCTCGTTTGAAGCAGTGGAGTAAATGTCTCACAAAACCGTCAGTGCAGTCAGCTTTGTGATTGAGGAGGGCACGGAGCCAGAAAGCATGTTGGAGAAGAGATAGCTGAGGGAGGCCACCTCATCACAAGGCAAGGCAAGGTGCATTCACAGAACAAAGAGGTTGCGCAACATGAAAACAGCAGGAAGGATCGCCAGCTTTGTTTCTAATATTCCATTCCCTTCATTCACAACCCAGCTTCTTTTTGAGTTCTAGAGACTAAATTTGCGACAACATGTCGTCAGCTCGGCTCTTTAAACCGACATCTGCACCCCCAACTCTTTTCCCAGCCCTTTCACCGCACTCCCTCTACGCATCCAATCCCAACCCGTCCACTAAATGAACTCGACTTACATGATAGGGGGCTCATGTTTCCTGCCCACGTGAACGTCCGTAACTCTAACGGAAGTAGTGGGCCCAGTAACACATTTTTCCCTTCCCCTATCTCCCACTTAACAGACGTCCGCATCAGCAGACACTGCGTATTTCTAGCATTTGCCCCATCCTCCCCCGAGTGTAGGGCGCGTTTAAGCTAGCGTGTAAACAGGTAGTGTAAAATAGACCACCTCTTTTTCCCATCGGGGAATGTTGGAATGATGGGAGGAAAGGAGCACAAGTGAGAAGGGGAGCGAGCAAGGAGGGGAGCAGCCAAGGCAAGTAGGGCAGAGTAGAGTGCAGTGCAAAAAAAATGAATAGACAAGCATACGTGGAGGACATAAGAGGAGTGGAGTGGAGAAGGGACGAGTGATGGCGGAAAGAGCAGCAGCAGCAAGAAACCTCACAGGGTGATCATGCTGGTCAGTGAGCCAATGTCAGCCGGGATAGCGCCGGTGAGCGTATTGTTGTAGAGCCGCCTGCACGGACAGAGAGACCAAGGGGTTGTGTGCGTACGAGCATGCGGACATGTCTGCGTGCGCGTGCACGGACAGGGAGAGAGGAGACCAGAACAAAGAAAACACGTGGCAGGGCCTTGACCGGTGTGCATCACACTCACAGTTGTTGCAGCAGGCTGAGCGCAGTCACGGTGGCAGGGATGCTGCCTGGCAACTGGTTGCTTGCGAGATCGCTGTGAGGACACGATGACGGTAGCAAGGGGGGCGGGCTTAGCAGTTGAGCAAACCACAAGGAAGAAAAACCACGAGGCCTGCCCACCTTTGCCACCAGACCGGCCCGTATCGCCCGCCCATCGCCGAGCCTTAGCCATGGGCCTGAGCATGGGTCCGAGCCGAGGCAGGCAGCTTGGCTCCAGCTGGAGTCAGCTGTCGTTATCCTGAGTTGAGCCAAGTCTGCACAACATGAGCCCAGCTGGCTTTTGTTCGGCTCACAATTGGCCTGGCCGGCCACAAGCCTAGGTTGGAATAAACGCGTCTAGCGTGTATACGCGTATCGTATATACGCTAGCGTTTGCACGCGATACGCTGGAGGGGTCTGATCGAGGATACGCTTTTCCGGGCAGGAAAAAACTTTCCCGAGCAGGGTGGAAAACAATGTACTCCCTATTCTCACTAAGACGTGCCCTAAATTTCTTCTAAGTTCGATCGGCGGGTGGGGTGGGACGTGTGGAGTAGACATATTAACTAGAGAGGAGAGTGGGCGGGAACTCGGCTGGAAGCGGGAATGAAAAGTAGGAGTTGGGCTGGCTGGTAAGTTGCGTGAGGTTTGTTGGGGGGTCGATTTTGAGTAGGTTTGAGTTCGTAGATAGATGAGATGGTTTTCAATGCAGTGAATGGGTTGGGTTTCAATGCCTAGATGAGATCTGAAATCCAACAGTCGAATTGTCAAATGTGCCTGGAAACTTTGAAGTCAGATCCCAGCTTGCGTAGACCGCGGATTTGCATTTCGACTTCGGCGAAATGCTCACCGCGAAAATCCGCATCTTTTTTACGATTTTATTTTTCCGGGCTGCCCCAAAAAATATGGGTCGCGTATGGCGTATTCGCTAGCGTTTCGCGTATTGCGTGTACACGCTAGCATATGAACGCTGAACGCTAAAGCCCCTTAGCGTATATTCCAACTTAGCCACAAGCCACCCTGCCACAAGTGGCCGGCCACAAGCCTCTAGTGGCTTGCCTGCGAATTGGTTCTGCTCGAGTACTACTCGACAAGTCGTACTAGTGGAAGCGAAATAATGGTGGATTCTCAAGAAATTAGAGCTAACCAAGGTTTCGGAAGGATATGGTGATGTGGAGAAGTATGGGCCTAGCGAGGGGAAGGAGCAGAAAGTAATGATACGAAACAAACTGAAAAGAACCAGACATGAAGCTGAAAGAACCAGACATAAAGCTGAAATAACCAGACATGAAGCTCATTTCAACCCCAGATTGACAACCACGACTCGGATTCCTACTTCTCGTCTCCTCAACTAGCTGCTACAAGACTCGCCGAAGCACGCCACATGCCAGAAAAGCACTCAGGGCAGGGCTCGCTGCGAGCTGCAACGCAAATTCAGAGGCTAGGCTCGATGGTTTTCCGAGCCAATCCTCGGTTAGGTTAGTTGGTCAGGCCAACTTAGCCAGCCACATGAATAGACAACTGGCCACAACTTTTGATTAGGCCCGATGACAACTGGCCAGTGAGGTACAGGGGATTGGAGGAGGTACGAGGGCTAGGGATAGAGAGATAGGGGGAGAGAGCAAAAAAACGTTTAACGGCATTAGAGGGAGGCCAGAAAAGGGAACCGGGGGCAAAGACAGGGAAAAACGCGGGAGGAGGGAGGGGTGGGCTGGAGAAGAGGTGGTGAAAAGAAAGCTGTGCTGTGGGAAGAGGCGTAGTGTGCTATGGGAAGAGGCGTAGCTGTGCTGTGGGAAGAGGCGTAGCTGTGCTGTGGGAAGAGGCGTAGTGTGCTATGGGAAGAGGCGTAGCTGTGCTGTGGGAAGAGGCGTAGCTGTGCTGTGGGAAGAGGCGTAGCGTGCTGTGGGAAGAGGCGTAGCTGTGCTGTGGGAAGAGGCGTAGCGTGCTATGGGAAGAGTCGTAGCTGTGCTGTGGGAAGAGGCGTAACTGTGCTGTGGGAAGAGGCGTAGCTGTGCTGTGGGAAGCGGCGTAGCTGTGCTGTGGGAAGAGGCGTAGCTGTGCTGTGGGAAGAGGCGTAGCTGTGCTGTGGGAAGAGGCGTAGCTGTGCTGTGGGAAGAGGCGTAGCTGTGCTGTGGGAAGAGGCGTAGCTGTGCTGTGGGAAGAGGCGTAGCTGTGCTGTGGGAAGAGGCGTAGCTGTGCTGTGGGAAGAGGCGTAGCGTGCTATGGGAAGAGGCGTAGCTGTGCTGTGGGAAGAGGCGTAGCTGTGCTGTGGGAAGAGGCGTAGCTGTGCTGTGGGAAGAGGCGTAGCGTGCTATGGGAAGAGGCGTAGCTGTGCTGTGGGAAGAGGCGTAGTGTGCTATGGGAAGAGGCGTAGCTGTGCTGTGGGAAGAGGCGTAGCTGTGCTGTGGGAAGAGGCGTAGTGTGCTATGGGAAGAGGCGTAGCTGTGCTGTGGGAAGAGGCGTAGCTGTGCTGTGGGAAGAGGCGTAGCGTGCTGTGGGAAGAGGCGTAGCTGTGCTGTGGGAAGAGGCGTAGCGTGCTATGGGAAGAGTCGTAGCTGTGCTGTGGGAAGAGGCGTAACTGTGCTGTGGGAAGAGGCGTAGCTGTGCTGTGGGAAGCGGCGTAGCTGTGCTGTGGGAAGAGGCGTAGCTGTGCTGTGGGAAGAGGCGTAGCTGTGCTGTGGGAAGAGGCGTAGCTGTGCTGTGGGAAGAGGCGTAGCTGTGCTGTGGGAAGAGGCGTAGCTGTGCTGTGGGAAGAGGCGTAGCTGTGCTGTGGGAAGAGGCGTAGCTGTGCTGTGGGAAGAGGCGTAGCGTGCTATGGGAAGAGGCGTAGCTGTGCTGTGGGAAGAGGCGTAGCTGTGCTGTGGGAAGAGGCGTAGCTGTGCTGTGGGAAGAGGCGTAGCGTGCTATGGGAAGAGGCGTAGCTGTGCTGTGGGAAGAGGCGTAGCTGTGCTGTGGGAAGAGGCGTAGCTGTGCTGTGGGAAGAGGCGTAGCTGTGCTGTGGGAAGAGGCGTAGCGTGCTATGGGAAGAGGCGTAGCTGTGCTGTGGGAAGAGGCGTAGCGTGCTATGGGAAGAGGCGTAGCTGTGCTGTGGGAAGAGGCGTAGCTGTGCTGTGGGAAGAGGCGTAGCTGTGCTGTGGGAAGAGGCGTAGCTGTGCTGTGGGAAGAGGCGTAGCTGTGCTGTGGGAAGAGGCGTAGCTGTGCTGTGGGAAGAGGCGTAGCTGTGCTGTGGGAAGAGGCGTAGCTGTGCTGTGGGAAGAGGCGTAGCTGTGCTGTGGGAAGAGGAGTAGTTGTGCTGTGGGAAGAGGCGTAGCTGTGCTGTGGGAAAAAAGGTGGAGTGGCATTTCGCTGAAGCAAAACCTCAGGCCCTGAGTCTCAGGGCAACACGGCACTGAGGACGTACAGATAAATGAGCTTCTTCAGGCTGCTGAGGGAGTTTGGAATCTGCCCTCCCAGCTTGTAGTTCCGGAGTTGCCTGTTTTATGGTGTGGTGATGTTGTGTTTGTGTGTGAGTGATGGTGTGACAATGATGGTGAGTGAATGGTGGTGTGATGATGGTGTGTGAATGATGGTGTGACACTGATGGTGACTGAATGAATGGTGGTGTGACTATGATGGTGAGTGAATGGTGGTGTGATGATGGTGTGTGAATGATGGTGTGACAATGATGGTGACTGAATGAATGGTGGTGTGACAATGATGGTGAGTGAATGGTGGTGTGATGATGGTGTGTGAATGATGGTGTGACAATGATGGTGACTGAATGAATGGTGGTGTGGCTATGATGGTGAGTGAATGGTGGTGTGATGATGGTGTGTGAATGATGGTGTGGCAATGATGGTGTGTGAATGTGGTGTGACAATGGTGGCGTGTGAGCGATGGTGTGGCAATGATGGCGTGTCAATAATGGTGAGCACTGAGCATGGGTTTTAAAAAATGGCAATAAGTACATCATGGCCTCTCAGACTCAACCTCTGACTCCCATACTCTCACTCCCAACCTCTCACTCCCATCCTCACTCCCAACCTCACTCCCATCCTCACTCCCATCCTCACTCCCATCCTCACTCCCATCCTCTTACTCCCATACTCTCACTCCCATCGTTAGTTGGCTTGGCACTTCATGCTTACGAGGGTTTACGTGTACATGACATTTGATTCTCCTATGCTAAGCATTTTAACACTTACATACATCACCTTACAGATGTTTCGTGCATACACTGCCATGTTACTGCCTCGTGATGGTCGGATCGGATGGTGCTTCTTTTTCGGGGTAACCTTTTTTTTCCTTTTACCGTGCCCGAGCAACTTCAATTTAAATTATGAGTAGTGAAAGGTAAAGGTAAACTTACACCTTTGCGTGACCTAAAAAAACGTAAAACTGCCAACTAACCTCCCATCCTCTCACTCCCAGAGCCTCCCTCACATCGCCTCTCTCATCGCCTTACATGATCACGATCATGCCGGAGGGATCGCACGTGAGGCCCGTGGCACTGCTGCAGTCCGGACTCGCGCCACTCCACCCGGAGATGCTCCGCCCCCATGCTGCCTGGCACTCCTGCAGGAATTGCACTGCAACGAGTGGCAGTGGGTGGGGGTCGGGGTGAAGTGGGGGGTGAGGTGGGATGGGGAGGCCCTCCCTGGGAGGGATTGGAGACTCTCCACAACAAACCCCATGGCTGACGTCGGTCTGAACAAGACTTGCTCATTGATTGCCATCCTGTGTCCCCCTTGCCCATGTCGCCTCTATCTTTCACAACGCTCTAGCGCGTCCCACGACCCTGCTCCCTACCCCTCGCCCTTGCTCCCTGCCCCACGACCTTGCCCTCTGCCTCTTGACCTTGCTCCCTGCCCCTCGCGCTTGCTCTCTGCTCCACAACCCGCTCTCTGCCATTCGCCCTTTGCTCTCTGCCATTCGCCCTTTGCTCTCTGTTCTTCGCCCTTTGCTCTCTGTTCTTCGCCCTTTGCTTTCTGTTCTTCGCCCTTTGCTCTCTGTTCTTCGCCCTTTGCTCTCTGTTCTTCGCCCTTTGCTTTCTGTTCTTCGCCCTTTTCTCTCTGTTCTTCGCCCTTTGCTCTCTGTTCTTCGCCCTTTGCTCTCTGTTCTTCGCCCTTTGCTCTCTGTTCTTCGCCCTTTGCTCTCTGTTCTTCGCCCTTTGCTCTCTGTTCTTCGCCCTTTGCTCTCTGTTCTTCGCCCTTTACTCTCTGTTCTTCGCCCTTTGCTCTCTGTTCTTCGCCCTTTGCTCTCTGTTCTTCGCCCTTTGCTCTCTGTTCTTCGCCCTTGCTCTCTGTCCTTCGCCCTTTGCTCTCTGTTCGCCCTTGCTCTCTGTCCTTCGCCCTTGCTCTCTGTCCTTCGCCCTTCTCTGTCCTTCACCTTGCTCTCTGCCCTTCGCTCTCTGTCCTTTCGCCCTTTGCTCTCTATACTTCGCCCTTCGCTCTCCTGTCCCTTGGCCATGCCATGTCGCCGCACGGGAGGTGAGCGTGGCAAGGATGGCGGGACATCGTGCAGCGAGCTAGCAGGAAACCATACGCCGCGGCATACGCCATTTCGGTGACAACCATGCATGTTAATCATGCGGGTGCAACTCTTCGCTTGCCACGCCCGCGGGGTCTCGGGGCGATCGCCACGCGATCAACAAAGGCAACATCTCCTTCGAGCGAGACTTGCCTTGAGTGGCTTCGAGCGGCACAGCCTTCACCATCCGCCCGACGGGCGCGACAAGGGCGGCGAGCCACCACGCCAGTGCCCACGCGCGCTGCACGCGCTCACGATTACGTGCCATCGCCGTCGTTGAGCCCGCAGCCCCAGTGCCGATCATCGCAAAAAAAAAACCCTAATCAATTTGGCCCCTCCCTCAACGGCTACTCCAGACCCAACTCACCCGCACAACTGACAAAGACGCCCTATCTAAGGGCGTGGAACATCGCAGCGACCAAACCCAAATATTGACCATTTGGTCGGGGCATGCGAATGCGAGGGGTGTAACCCGATGGCGATGGATGCTAGATTTTCCCGCCAAAGGACCACGATTTTGACCGTTTCGGCAAACGCCCCAACAAATTGACCGTGCGAGCGACCGGGGTTTTTATTGTTGCGCGACAGTTTTTAAGGCGTGTAACATTGCGATGACCAAACCCAAAATCCGACCATTTGGTTGGGGCGTGCGAATGCGAAGGGAGTAACACGATGGCGAGGGATGCGAGATTTTCCCGCCAAATGACCACGATAACGACCGATTCAGCAAACGCCCAAACCAAGCAACAGTACGTGCGACCAGTTTGATCACGAAAACATCCCCGCCGTGATAGTCCCCCGCAGAATAAAATTTGGGGAAACACCCACAGATAGCATTACGTGGTAGTCCCCGAATTTGTCTCGTGAAGGCCTATGAGGTTGCTAAACACTACCCTTTCTCGGCCCCGTATAATCCAAACCTCGTTGGAATGCTGAATTTTGGATTAGACTTATCAATTCTAAATACGGGGGTAGTTAAGGGTGGGTGCCCCTAAATCGACCACGCCACAACCATGGTCATTGAAAATCTATAGAGGACGCCCCAGGTGTTTGTTACCACTTCCCTCGCATATCGGCCAACATGACCAAATGGTCGGATTTCGGGTTTGGTCATCGCAATGTTACACGCCCTTATTCCTTTCACTGCATTCGAATGGGGTATGGAACATATGGGAATTTGAAGCATATACTGGGGTGCTTAAAGCCAGGATCTCAAGTACGAGAATTGGCCTTCAATTGCAAAACACGTGCAACTTTCGTTACCCTATTTGTGTAGGCGACTTGATTGGTTGGTTAGGAAGTTGAGTGTGCGACACACCCACTTTTTTACCCCTGGAGCAAATGCAAAACATTTTGCTGGTACATGAGATTGTTTGGGGGTGACGAGAAACTGCAGGTGTTGGAGCTTCGTCACCGAACCAGATTCTGTGCCTCCCTGGTTCGGATTCGAGCAGGCGATTTGTCTTTAGTTCGCACCCCTCGCTTCACCCCTCGTCAGACTATCCACCTCGTTCACCAATCACAGCCAAGCCCCCCTCACCTACTGCAAAACAATTTATTTACTTGAGATCCAGGCTTTAACAAAGCAGCGGGTTTAGGCGAACACAAAGAAAACATTCCCCGCTAGGAATACACAAGGTAGGTCCCAAAATGCGGCGCAGACATTTCTATTCTGGAAATACCATCGCAATTCGGTCAAATCGGGGTGACTACTCAAGTTATAGTAACCCTAATGTTCACAATTGCCAGAACCACCCAAATGGTCGACCGTTTGGGTTGGTCGTTACAAAATTACACGCCCTAGTTGGTTGGAACTTGCAACTCTGCGGCTTGGGTTCATAGCTCGCGAAGATTGTAAGGACGTGTCTCGGATGACTCATTCCACGTGGGTCCGGCTCAGACCTGGCGGACCAGCTCAAGAACCAGAGCCTGAACCAGGGGCGGACCGGGTTCATGATGCGGGGCTTGTAACCCCGTTATACTGTTCGAATGGCACTAAAACGGTGCCATTTTTTCGGTCCTCCGGACCAGTCCGCGCCTTGTCGGTAAACAGTGGGTTGTCAACGCTGTTTTGCGAAATTTTCTTTTTTCGTATGATTCACGCGAGATTTTTGTTAAGACGAAAAAAAAAAAAGCTAACTCGATTTCGATTTCTTTGCTACTGCTGCAACTCGCAAATGCTGTGCAGCCCGAGACGCGACGCATCAGGCAGACCAGTCCGTGTCTGGTCCAACGCTGGTCCGCCAAGTGGGTCCGTCGGACCAGAACCTCGGACCAGGCGTATAAATTCTGGTCGGAGACCAGATCCAGCGGACCCTTCAAATGAGCGTATAATTTCGCTCTTGACCGCGCAATGGTCAGAACCATACGACCGACGACATGTTCGAAACTGCAAATCGATCTTGGTCATTGTAATTCTACAGGGGACGCCCCAGGTGTTTGTTACCACTTCCCTCGCATATCGTCCAACCCAACCAAATGGTCGAAATTGAGGTTTGGTGCTGCAATATTCCACGCCCTAAAGTGACAAAAGGACTTCGAAGAAAAAGTGACTTCGCAAAAATGTGAAAATGCGGGTCGGAGGGGGGGGGGGGGGGGGGGGGGGGGGGGGTGGGGAGGGAACGAAAAACGCCGCATTGACGAACTCCCAACGACCTCCGAGTGGCAAATTCGGGCGACCAGGCTGTGCTCAGGGCACGGGAGCCCTTGGGAATGGCGACGAGCTCACGACCTAGGTTTCTGCTAAGAGAAACTCGAGAAGTAAATCTGAGCGCGTGGCATAATCCCAGCTCGACTTGTCAAAACGTGATTATCGTGACGCGGCCTTATGGGGACGACCGATATCGTCCCCGACATCGCGGGAGGATATTGGGCTGCCACGACGACCGCGACGTGGCCACGCGTCACTCCACGGGTCTAACTGCTTTGCGCGGGAACACGACGCCCGGCCAAATTTGTCGGTGCGCGATCCACGCGGCGAAAATCGATCCGTCAGGGCATTTACACGTGTCTGGCATCGCGTGCAGCTCGCAATGTCCGTGTCGCCCTCGGATCCTACGGTGGTTAAGCGAGCTACGCGGCTCAATCCGAACGTGCCTCAACACTGTCCAGGTGAAGTGAATCTAACGGAAGACAATAGCGCGCCAAAGGGAAAGTCGGCGCTGATCAAGAGGGGCTTATGGTGGGCTCGACACGCGGCTCTGCAATACGCCCAGGCCCTTATGCACTGGAAGTCGGCATCCCGGCATGTGTGGAGCGAGGCACCAATGTTGGGCCCACGCCACGTAACGCACGCCCATGCCACTGTGGAATGGCCCAGGCTTACGCTCAATGAGTGCAGCGAGGCGTGACAGTAGCCATGCATGGCACGTGGCATGTCAGACACTGTGCCGCTGCACGAGGACACATGCATAGCGGCACTTGCAAAGGGGGTTGCGTGGAGCGCGGCAGATGCGGAGTCGCTCACGACCAAAC